AAAATTTTCTTACCAATGAATGAACCACCAGTTGCTCTAGAATCTACAGCAACAACAACTCCTCCACGATACTGGAAAGCAAGTGTGGTAGTTCCTTTGTTGAACTTAATTGAAATACGATTACCATGCGCATCTCTGTTGAATGCTGCATATGCAGTAGAAGGCTAAAAAAAATCCAAAGTAACATTATAAGTTTATTTTACATTAGAAAAATTGATATTAGTTTATAAAATTATGAATTAATTAATACATTTTAAGAGCCGATTCTATACATTTACAATGCATGCATTTCCCCTCATAGTACATATGACAGAAAAAGATTCATAGTAGATATGATAAAAGATTTTATAGTACATATAATAGTAAAAGGATGTTTTAGTCAATACCTCAACAGACAATAAAACCATGAACACGAATATATTTTGTGGCCTGTTTAGTACATTAAACGTAGTACTTAGAATTACATTTAAACAGCTCTTTTAATTAGTTTCAATACTGTACCTACAAACTTAATTTCTTTTAGATTTCTAAAGATTCTCCAGAAAGGATAAAAAGTATTAATTTCAAAGCTCTTAAAGCAACCAATATTTGAGATCATAAATGACTGATTATATGACATTCAACACAAACGTGAAAATTCTGAAATCAGAATGTTTTGATCTCACTTGAAAACCAAATACAGTTATAAAAATACAACTCTTTTACATCGCAAAAAAGTTCCTTAAAAATTATACTACAAAATGGGTGGGAGTGAGGCAGCAAAAAGGTAAGCTCCATATATGAAAGTCTAAAAATTAAGTCGCCTTGACATGAATGTTATTAAAACTTATTGATACTAAATGTACGTAATCATAAATTTTCACACACGAATTCACACCTATTCACGAATATAAGAGTACTGCTGGTAGAACTTCAAATTTTTCACTGTTACATCTCATAATCCGATTACGAAATGATTGGAATTAAATGAATGATATCTCGTAACATACTAACAATATTCATAATGCAAAGGTAAAATGCAAATTTGCGATATGGAACTATAGTTTCTGTTTTAGAGATTTTAGAACCCCAAAAATATCATGGAATCAGAATAACTCTTGTCTGAATTTTTCTCAATAAGCATTTTAAATAAAATAGTGCAAAAAATTTTCTACGAAAAGAGAGCTACATGATTATTTAAATTTAGGAAAATAACTAATCACACATATTCTTCATACTGCAAAAAGAATTCACTTACATCGTTAAGAGGCGGTAAAGCAAGTTCCGTATGACGGAAAAGATTTCCGCAGCTTTTATCTACATAATTTAATAGATCATCTTCCGTTTCTGATTTCTGTCCAAATCCAAAATTTCGAGGAACTCCACACAACGACTCTAGCGCCATGATGACAAATGCTTTTACTTCTCGGACCGAAACAACAAATGCTAAGCGACAAGTTATAGTAAAAGTTGAAGTATATTTTCCTCAAACGTTTTAAACGGCATGAAAGTAATGAAATTAACGGCAATTAAGTAATGGAAATTTTCTAGGAGGTTAAAATTGTTCCAAGGATTCTAACCTCCTTGGAAATTTTGAACAGTAATAAAAAACATACGGCCAGTTAACTTTATAAATTTTCTTCCATTAATATTTTTATATGTAAAATATTGATCTAAAAATTTTTAAATCAAAATGTTTTCAAAAGAAAAATTACGTCTACTTAACATTTAGCGATTTATTTGAAACTTTTGCTGGCTAAAAGTTGGCGGGTATTCAGAAGCTTATCATACCTTATAGGGGCAGAAAGACTTTGGATGTGATTGAAATTCATCAATAAATCCGGTTGTGTTTGAATGATTTAAAAACATGAATTTTTTTACATGAAACTTTTAATTCTTATTTCTTCAGAATTATAAATATTTTTAAATTGCAGCTCTAGTTTCGTTAAAAACCCGTTTCATAACATAAGAATGTAATAAAAAAGTTGCATATAATAATTGGTTGAATTGGAAACTTTCATTGAAACATTTTATTTTACAATTATAAACCAAACTATTAAAGAAATCGGCTGCCCAAAATTTCTAAAAAACTAACTTCATCAAATCCCTCAGTTTTCAACATAATAATAATAATAGTCACAAATTTTACAATTCTACTACTTTAATTGTTATTAATAAGAACATTCTTATTAATAAAAACTTGCTGTAATTCTACTATACTCCGCCAGCTGAGAGGTGAGAATCGCCTGCTTCCTGCTTAACCTGAAACCAAGCAGTCAGTATTAGGGACGGTTACCACTGTGAAGGCTTACTAATCACTTTGCTTCTCGCTACTGCCTGCGATGTTTATTTTTTTAATAATAAATGTTACATCTGTGAATTTATTTATGGAAATCTATTACCACAGACATTTAAAATGAAAACTTTTTTAATGTAGTGTTACATGAGAAATTAATATAATAGTAACCATTTATGAAATATTTAAGTATGTAAATGATTAACTGTAAAATGAGAATTTTTTCTGTAAAAGTAAAGTTAAAAAAAATAAATCATATGCAAAGCACATTGCAGAATTAAAATTTCGAGTAACGGCAAAACGTAATTCTCAAATAGCAGATTTGTGTTTCGTTCTTCACCACCCCCGTGTGCATTCGCTTCATCTCAAAACAGCTTTGATTTGAAAGCCACACCTTGAGACGAGCCAGGCTGATTTATATTATGTCTACGAGAACTTGCTTTATTCTTTTATTCATATTCTCTCATCATACCTGACAATATGAAAGTTAATAGAAAACTTTTGAGAAATGCATTTCTGTCAGCAGTAGTTTGAACAGAAGGTTTTTAGCTGCATGTTTTACAATACTTGCGGAAAAAATTATTCTTGCAGCTTTGTTTCATTTAATTTAAACAGTTAGAGAAAAGTTTTGTTTCGAAAGGATTATGGAACATTTTGAGTGTGGTAATGTCTGTTGTTATGAAGTTGTAGACAAAAGAAATAAAAGCTGATTTTATTGTTGAACTTAAAAGAAAACCCTATATGTGTACATCCTTGTGTACAGGGATGTACACAAACCATATTTGTGTACAGAGAAAACTTGAAATAACTGAAACTTTAAAGTAGAGGCTGCAGGAAACTTCATATGGTGAATATATATTGCGTATTGCTTCATATTGCAGGCTGCAATATTATATTTTTTTAATGAAATAATAAAAGGAAAGTTATCTGTATATGGAGCATTTTACGTTTTTCGCAGACATAACTAATGCAAAATATTGCAGTTGGTAAAAGTTTACAATTGGGTGCACCTTGTTTTTTGGCATTTCTTTTTGACGCCAAGATCGGCTCCAGGAAGTCACAATTTCAAGATTGCCGTTACACAAAGTCAAAGAATTGCACAAACTCTGTGTCCATGTACACATCGATCTGTTTTCACTTAAAAAAAAACCCAGAATTGCACAAACTAGGCATTGCGCACTGGCTTAAATTTGTCCATGTACACATCAAATATTTTCATTTAAAAAAAATCAGGAAGTGAAAACTATCACGGTAGCCAGAAATGAGGTTTCATTGCCGAAATTAAAAAAAAAAAATTACGTTATCGAGGCGCACCCATTCTACACTTGCAAGTTTCTTAAGCTGTTTCGGAAAGCTGTGAAACTTACCTACCCTGGGAACACGAGATAAACAACCGCGATCTTGCTTTGTGCTCATTGGCTATATATCCAGAGACCTGCAGCGGCGCTGATTCTCATTGAGACAGAACACAGTTTTCGGACTCTCATACCAATCAAAATGCCATATTTCAGGGATGAAACGACTTCGGTCATTTTTATATGCATCTAGAACAAGCGCTTTCAGACACCAAAAATCACTTTTTTGTGGGCAAATAACGAAGTATTAAGCCAAGCTACAAAAAATTTTGAGAAATTTTTAAGAATAAAAGAAAGTCGGGAGAAATACGTTAAAAATTGGGTTGGTGGGAGTATGGTCAGAAATCGGGAAAATTGGCAACTCTGTACAAGGATATTCAAGACTCACCCAGGAAGTACATCAATATCTAGAAACAATCAACCAGATGGGAAAGACATGCATTATGCAATGGATACCTGCATATGTTGGAATCGATGGGAACAAGGCAGCCGATGAACTGGCTAAAAAGGCAAGAAACCTCAACAACTCAATCCCTGTCACTCTTGAAGATGCTAATTGCCATTGCCAGATATAGACTCAAATTTATTAAGCAAGACCATTAGATATGCGAGACTGATACAAACAGAAATCACAAAGAGACCATTACTAGATAGAGAACCCACCCTTTTAGAGAAATGAAAATTAATGAAGATGGTACCAGATCATATAGAAACACAGCTTTCTCCAAAAAACATCTTCAGCTGTCCATCAATGGAGCTCTGCAAAGATTGGGGGAATTTTTTTTAAGGGAGAGCTGTATAGTGAAAAGATAGTGGAACAGGCAAAAGCAGCAATTTCCCCGCATGGATCCATTTGACTTCTCAAAGAATATGACACCAGCGAACTGACCAACTAGAATTAGAATTTGTATAATTTCTGCATAAAATAAATGATACATAATCTTTTCTTTTTCATTTCTTTCATAAAACTTTTTTTGGATTTCATTTATTGATTAAAAGATATCTTTTGAAAGAACAAATTAAGATAAAGCAGAGCATTTATCTGTTTGTATACTCTGATAAGTAAATCATTGAAGTGCTTATCATGCTTTAATGTATGATGATATTTATATTTTTACTAGTAAAGCAAAAAAGGCATAAGTTATGATGATTAGTTTAGTGTTTATTCAAAGATAATTCTTAGGCTAAATATATATTTCAGACAGCCAAAACAAAACAATAATGTTTAATAAATAAAAAATATGTAATGTACTTACATGAAATCTACAGAAAAAAAGAAATATAAAATGTCCATTTTTGGTGAAATACCACTTTATACTTCTTGTGTTTAGAATCATAAGAAAAATAAACATACATGTAATAGATACATGGGATGAAAACTTAGATTACCTACAAGTAATGAGAAAATACATAAAGATCAGTGATGCAAAACTCTGAGTGCAATTTGCTTAACATAATTTTAAAAAAATCTTATTGCAATTATTACTGTACATCTATTACAATCATTTAATATAAAATCTGTGGATTAATATTCTGTAATTTGAACTATTTTGAGATAATTAACCATTTAACTGAGACTTTTTCCTTTTAAATACAGAATACTTTATCCTCTGCCTCCCATAAAAGGCAATGTTCTTTAAGCCTCTGACTGCTCAATTTGTAGACCAAAATCGCTTCAAAAATTGCGGAATTTTTTTTTTTTTTTGGGGGGGGGGCAATCTATATAATATTGGAGATGAAAAATGCATTTTTCCTTTCAAGAATATTTTTTTATATGATTTTATCATGAAAACTAAGTTGCAAAAAACCAATTTCAAAGTTAATCACCAAAAATTTTTAAATAAATTCATCGAATACGTTAATTTCTATTTATTGCATAATAAAAAAGTAAAATATTAAATTTAGAAATATAAGCCTGAGGGAAAATACTTAGAATCCAGTTTGTAATATAGTTCAAACAAGGTCAAGGCAAATCCACTTCACCTTTGCACCAATTTCAATAAATCTAATTAATAATTCAATAAAATAATCAAGATAATTGCTGAATGTTTTCTAGCAGCCATTTTTGTAAGAAAAAAGCGCAAAAAGCGGAGTTTGAGCGGTAATACCACGTGCCTTCAAATGCTGCAATTTAGTGGACAAGTAACGATATCTGTTGGCCAAAAAGTAAACTAAGCGTCTAATACTGTATATAATTTATTTCAGTGGTTAAACATGGGAAAAAACAGGATGTGCTCCTCAATAAAAGAAGAAAAACACATGCCTACGGAAATCACAGGATAAGCAGATTTTGCTACATTTGAGTTACCCGTGGAAATCGTAGGATGAGCAGCTAAAAGGGTTAATCAAAATTTGTCTTAGACTGATATTCATAGGAAATTAGACTTCATAACATTTCCTATGTGTTTAAAGCGTGTGCAGGTGAAACCATATTCAGCAAAAATAATCTATGAAATTAACATCAATAAAGGCTGAATTTTAAATATCAAATTGATGTATGTCTTTTCGTTCAACTAATTATTCTTTTAAATATAGGTTAAAAATATTTTCATGATGTATTCTTAAATTTTGAGTTATACAGGGTGTTTCAAAAAGAATCATTCGATTTAAAAAACAAAATCATAACTATTCCATTTTAAATCCATTTTGATCGAATAATGTATAGGTATAAAGAAGGAAATCTCAAATTTCATGCAGTTGGTGACAGGTAGCACTAATGCTCTTCCTTCACCTGCTAACTGTGTTTATCTAGATGATAAAAGTACAACAGAAATCATTTTGTATTCTACACTTAGTGAAGTGAGAGTCCGTAACAACTGTTCAGTGTGATTTTCGTCAAAAATCCCCTGGTGTTCAACAACCTATTTTTCAGTGCATTAAGCGATAATATAAACAATTCTAAAACACATGTTGTGGGTGTAAATGAAAATCGCCTGGCTATCCCCACATGTCAAATGAAAATGTGAAGCACATCTGACAGGATTTTCCATGTATTCTACAGAAAGCCATTTACTATGCTGATATTCCAGCAACATCTAAAGGCGTGTTTTGCTTCGAACGCTTATTTTTCAAAACCTACAGGATTCAGTTGCTGCAACCTCTTCGTACAGGTGACAAAGAATGATGTAAGGAGTTTGTAAAATCATTCATCAGAATGCGACACAATATGACTTTTTTTTTAACACACTTTGAGTGTAATGATGAGGCTACTTCTCATCTAAGGTCAACAAACCACAATGTTTAAAATTGTGGCAATGTCAACCACTGCAATGCTGGAACTGTGGCACTGTTAATCACCATGATGTTAGACTATGGGATATACAGCAGCCAAATCAAATTGTACTCACCAAAAGTTTTTTTTTTTTTTTTTTTTTTCAAAGGACATTGTTATAGAAATCACATATCTTAATACGCTTGAAAATTGCCTTTTCTCATAGTTAGAAATCAGTTTGGATAACTGTGTTTTCTAGCAAGATGGGGTACCACCCAGTGGAGCTTGGACGTTCATGAACGTTTTAACAATCACATTTTGATTAACAGATCGGTCATTCAAGACCTCACAATTCAGTTAAACATCTTATAACCTTCAAGATAGCTGGACCTCTCAGTGTGCGATTTCTTCTGTTAGAAGTTTATAAAAGACTCTTTATATTTACAGTAACAACAGCTGAACTGAAGATATGCATAACAATAGCTGTGGATGCAGATATGCTCGTAAACATTTGGGATAAATTTGACTACTGTATAGCTAATGCTGTGCATCTCAAGGTGGATATACTGAGGACTTTTAATTTGGAGTGTAAAAAAAATCTTTTATGATTATCTATGAATATAAAATTAATCTAAGTACAGTACAAAGTCCGTAATCTGGACATCCATTATCCGGAATGATCTATACTCCGGACCTCAATGCCACAATTTTTTTTTTTTTTTTTTTTGTGTGTGCTTTACGCCATGCCGTTTATGTATAATGGACGTAAAGCTAGGCGAACTTATCTTTACTGATTCTAAGCATTTCAGTATTTGCAGATTGTGCTGTTTCTTATCTCTAATGGATACGCTTATACTTTTTGAAGCTGTTAAAGCATTTTATGAATTAAGCTTGACTTCGATATGTCAAAAGGGTTTCCATTCTGGAGTTGCATACTGCTTCCGATAGTGCAGAAGTGACAAGGGTGAAATTACAAATTTCAAATTGACAATTTTCTGTTAGTCTCGACAAAACAGCAATTACACAACGACTCCACAGTGAACTTTTGTACTAAACAAGAAATTATGTCTTTTATAAATAAGAGAAAGTTTAATACAAAATAACAACTTTTAACAACTTCACTGAAAGAAATTTGTAAATAACCAATAATTTAGCGTTTTTTTTTTTTGAATTTTGATACCCTTTAGATTATTGTCTTATTTCATAATTACGGTTTCATATTTTTAATGTATAACTTTTCATGCCATTTACCAAGATTTATTGATGACTTATACGGAAACCCCTATCCAATCGCCGAAGTCCCGACGAGTCCGGATTACGGACTTTGCACTGTATCGACGTTCAGTTTTTTCATAATATATGCATTTTAATTGAGGGGGGGATTCTTTTTGAAGCACCCTGTAAAATGATGCATTCTTAACTATTTTGAAAAAGTTATCAATTATATTAACTTGAAAGGATATACACAAAATATCATATCTAGGGATCATAAAATTATTGATTTTTTATATTGTCAGAAATAAAATAAATTGGTTATTACATATTATTGCAACCATCTTAGTAGAAGTTGCGATATTTTCAAAAAGTGCTAAATTAGCAACCGTTCTTCAGGCAGCCATGCTCATAATAATCCATCTGTCAAGCATGTCACCATTTTTGTATGCATTCTTTTTGTTGTATTCCCTATTACAAAGGTTTTCGTAGACTAATTATAATATTTTTTGTTTTAAACTCAATTTTAAAATGTGTGTTTGTAGAATTTGCTAGTGATGGAAGAAACTGTAGTAATATTTCTGGAGGAATGTAGTAATTTTTCACAAAATCAATAAAGGGAATAATGACGTTTGGCAGATGGCCAGTGTGAAATGCTGCGGTTATCCATGATGCAGAATTTGTGCAATATTCTGATTCTTTTTTTTTTTTAATGTGGAAACAGATTGATATGTACATGAAAAGAAAAACAGTGCATAAAAAATTACAGGATTTTGCAAAAAAGTTTTACATTTTCATGTATCATATAAACCTTATTTAATAATTTAAATAAGTATTTTAAATTTTTAAAGTGCTGTGATGAAGTTTACCCACTTACGATAAATATCAATAGTTCGTAAAATCTTTTTAAAAAAGTCACGAACTTGCACTTGATAAATTCGTAAAATCCTTTTAAAAAAGTCAAGAACTTGATAATTAATTCATATATTTTCATTTGTAAAACTGTGCCAATTATATTAATAAAATATAATATTAATACAAGGTGGTTGCATTAATATACATGTCCTAATAAATATTCTTCTTACAAGTTATTGGTTATAAAAAAACAATACTATAAAAATGTAACTACAGCAAAAAATACTTTTGTCAATCACATTTTTCTTAAAATAAAAATATTATATATACCTTTGAATTTTAATAAGCATATTTCTAGAGTTTTTTGAAAGAAAGATTAAGTACTTTTGCCTGTTTTTAAAACACATAACACAGCATTTCTTATGAACCTACATCTGTTATATAAATTCATCTGAATAGTTAAAATTCATAAATATTTGATTTTAAGCTGTACTAATATCTTGACATTTTATTCTTAATTATTTTTCCCTTAATAACAAAATATAATAAATAATAATCAAATTTTTAAGATTTCATAAAAAGAAAATTTTGGCATGTTAAAAATTCATAAAAGTATGGACATTAGGCAATACTCAATTCATTAAAAACACATGAAAAAAATTTAGCTCTATTTCCCCAGTTGTTTTTCCATGATAATACCAATTCTTCAAATAAGTTATCTGAAATATTATCTAAACACATATGCTGTAAAGTTTTCAATCTGAACACATCAGTCAGAGATGATACATCTTCTTTCTTCCATACACAAGTACCAGTTACATTAAAATACGTCAGAACAATATCATTTATACAGGCCGTTCTTAGGAAAAAACATACTGCATCACCGGATAAATGTGGATTGGCAGAAAAATTAAAAGACTGAAGCTGCGATAAATTTGAAAATTTTGATGAAATATTATATAAATCTATATCTTTTAAATGACACCCTTGTAGAACAAGTTCTTTCAGAAAAAACATCTTTTCAGAAATGAAGTCATGGATCAATCTTCCAATGTCGATACTTTCTGAAGTAGTGTAAGAAAGATCAAATTTTGCTAACTTTTTCCTTGGAAGACACTGTAAAAATTCATTCAAACCATGCTTTCCTAAAGTATTTCCTGATATATTAAATTCTTCCAAATTCTGACATGTTTGTAGTGTCCTGCAGAGCTCCTCACTAGAAAAAAATGAAGAATTTAAACCACAAAAAGAAAGGTCTAAACTGACTAAGGATGACAGTTTTAAAATAACCTCAAAATATGGTTCACATCCCGAGTTGAACACATTGTAACTTAAGTTAAGTGATCTAAGATTGGGAAGTTTATCTTCAGGATTATCTTTTTTATGGAAATATTCTGCAATGCACTTTATACTTTGAGAAGTCAAGCAACAACAACTCAGGCTAAGTGATACTAAAGAAGTTAAAGATGGAAAACAAGAAATTAATTCACTCATACTGGCATCTGTAACTACAGTACCACTAAGATCAAGATGCTGCAGAGTCTTATAATTTGAGAGAGATAAAAATATCAAAGTAATTTGTAATGAAGTGATAGAGCAATTGGAAAAATTCAGTTCAGGACATGTTTCAAAATTCTGAAATCTTTTTTCAATGGAAGCCAAAGCTTTCACACCTCGTTTGTTACACATTTGGACATAACGTTCCTGCAAGGTAGGCTGATCCCAAAATTCAACTGAAGAAGTTACTTCATCATTATTATCAAAGATTGACCTTAGTAAATCAGAACTTGAAAGTAAAGCTCCATCTTTTGTCATTAATGTCAAATGTGGTCTACTACCAACCAAATTTTGATATCGATTAGCAGCTTGCTCGGCAAGCCATCCAACGGTACAATTTTCTTCTGGCACAGGAACAAGAATTAGCTTATCGGTTATGCGTACTCGTAGACAAAAAGATAATTTTGAATTACCCTTTTTAGGTGGCTGAGAAACAGTTTTTTCGTTTTCTGCAGATGTATCCTGGAAAGAATGTGAACTGTTGCTGCTGTCATCTTCAACTATGAAATTTTCATTATCATCGTTTGAAAACAGTGATGTATTATTATTATTTGTTGATTTATTATTTGAAGTCAAATAATTACAAATGGATTTACTTGTCCTTACATTAAGGCGTGACATTTTCCTCTTTTTTCTTTTTACTTTAGGTATCTGGTCAGTATCTTTTATCAACCAATCATTGACAATTTCTGTTTCATTTAAGAGAGAAGTCTTTGCTAGTTCTGGAGCTGAATTCACTGGCTTTGTAGCAGTCTTTGCACTGCGTCTTAAACTAGCCATTACGGCTTGATATTCCGATTGAACTTGATGAGCATTATCCCAGTCTTCCTTCCTGATGGAGAAAAGAGGTTCTGAATGTTCCATTTCGCCTTCACTTGTGTCTGATGATATGCTGGGTGATCTGGCACGTTTCTCAACTCTTCGATCTGTCTGGCTTACAGGAGTTACCTGATCATCAATAAAAGGGACATTTGTTTCCAATGTAGTTAAACTAACTTGATTAAATTCTTCAGTTTCTTTCACCACTTGACCAGCTTGAGCCATTTTTTCCTTTAACTGATCTTCTACACATTTGCACTGCTTAAGGGTTACAGCATCCAAGTCATTCCTGCTTCTTTTCTTCCAATTCTGAAGAGCCTGCAGGGGTGATTCTCCATTGTCATCAAGTATGGTAACAGATGCACCTTTGGAAATTAACAACTGCATGACATCTAAATTACCACAAGATGCTGCATCATGAAGAGCAGTTATACCACCACATGAAGGCCCTCCACGATCATTTATGTGAGCTCCTTTTTCCAATAAATATTCAACTATATCATAATAACCATAATTGCATGCTTCATGAAGGGGAGTCCAGCCACAGAAATCTCGAGTATTAACTGGATGTCCACTTTCCACCAGTCGTTTGACCATGCTGAAGTTACCATTGATACAAGCCTGATGCAGTGGAGTCTCCCCTTTTTCATTGACTTTGGTTACAGCTTTCTTTGGTCGTCGTTTTGATCTAGCTGCTAAATCCGTATCTTCTTCTGTTTCACTCTGTATGTCAGATATTTCACTTAAGTGTATATCTGCAAATGGATCTTCACTTTCATCTTCTACATCTGATTCATCATCATTAGAAAAGTTTTGCAGTCGTAAATTTTCCAGCTTAGCTTTTATACTTTCTGCTTTTTCATTCAGCTGACTATTCTGATAATAAGTGAACAGCTTTTCTAAAGTACGGGAAATAAACTTTCCATTTTCTATCTCTTCCGCTAAAGAAACAGCTTTAATAAGCTTTTTCTCACACTCTTCAAAATTTTGCTTTTCTTCACATATATCTGCCATCTTCCATAATGTTTTTATTTGTTCGGAAGGTTTATTTTCATTACAATTTAACTCTATTTGCAAGAACTCTAGTGCTTTAGAAGGATCCCCATCATCATAGTAAGTCTGAGCTAAGGAAAAATAAATGGGTGCTTTTTCATTTTTAGGAGAACCAATCTCTTCCATACACTTTAAAACAGAAGAATAATATTCAATGGCTAACTTATAACAATTCAAAGATGCTAAAGCATCAGCAATTTTTTCTAAAAGAACCCTTCTCTCGTAGTGATCACTTCTATTCAAATTAAGTAATTTATTTTGTGATATACATAAACCAACACTAATTTTAAGATCACTTGCAATTTTTTCGTGATCTTCAGGAATTGGAGAATGCAATTTATATGCAGTTTTTAAACATAATTTCCCTCCTTCAAAATCCTTCAATGAAATCAATATTGAGGCTTTGGTGACTAATGCTTCACATTTCAAAGGGATATCATGTAGTTTTCCTGCAGATACAATGGCTCCATCTAAAAGGCGAAGTGCACACGAGTATTGCTTATGTTTTTGATAAACAGTTGCAAGACTGTACTGGCATCTATTCAGGTCCTCATGTAGGTCATATTTTGAAGCTAAAAAAATGGCATGTCGTATATTTTCAGCACATCCAGATAAATTTCCACGTTGTTCACAAACTAGACCTAAATTTAACAGCAGACGAGCCCGCATTTCCGCATACTCCCTTTCACTTAGAGTAGAATTAAGACCTTCAGACAGTTCTAATGCTTGTACATAAGCTTTCTCAGCTTGATCTAACGTTTTGTTACTATTATCCTTTGGACAATCTCCTTCAGTTTCAAAGAGATATTTCATATAGTAAGTTCTTCCAAAAGTAGCCCACGCTCTTTGTTCTTCAACAAGAGAGTTTACACTAATTGCAAGTTCTAGAAATGTCTTGATATGAGAAAGTGCTTTCACAAAACGATGGAGTTCGGCATAACATTCGCCGATTTTACGGTTGGCAACAGCCATTCCTAAGCGATCACCAGTCATTTCGCAAAAATTTAATTCTTCTAGATGGCATTCTAAAGCCTGTTTATATTGGCAGGCTTTAAATAGTTCGGAACCCAAGTAGTTACATGCTGCAGCAGCTTCTTTCCATTTTCCTTCGGAAATAGCTTTCTGTTTTTCCTTTTGCAAACGTTTGATTTCGTTAACCATTTTCTAACATATATTTATTTCCGAAAATACGATGTAAATAAAACTGAAAGCATTACATTGACAGTTACACAAATTAAAATATTCAACTTCATATCAAAAGTATTTTATCTACAACGAATTTGGCGGTTGTTTTCGTTTGCAAAGTACGTACAGTTACAATTACATCCTACACATAGTTATACTTTTTATTTAAGAAAGGAGTAAATTTTGTAAGCTTTTGAATACTTTTTAACAATTATTTTTATTATTGATACGATTTTTACTATTGATATTAATTGACCAGTAATCTGAAATTAATACGTCTTCAGAAAAGTATTTCCTCCGCTTTATGCATCGCTGTACTGGTACCCATGAAATCGTTTCTATATAGGCTGTTCTCTTTTAGAACACACTATTTTACTATTTTACTATTTTACTAAACGCTACGAAATTATTTTTCTCTCAAAGAAAATTTCCGTCTTTCTATCTGCCGTTATTTCGTAATTTAGCTTGGTTTTTCGCCCTGCGGGCAAAAAGACTTAACCGGCGCAAAACATGACTTGTGTATACTTTGTGTTTAAATGACCATCGATTGAATAATATACGATGCATGCCTTGTGTATACGTAAGAACAATCATATTTGTCACCTAATAAACCAAAATATATCATGCAAACGTAAGGTAAGCCTTCCTTCCTTTTTTTCTTTGTTTGCCAATCACAGTGACAAATTTTCCATAGTTTATTTCCACCACCAACCTTTCTGCTTTGAATTGCGCGGGTGATCGGACGGAAAACAAAATGTTAATAATAGCTTCACTAGTAATGGGAACTCACCTTTCATTATATTCTTGAGTAAAACAGAAAATATGCACTGTCCAGATAAAAGACACAGAATCAATTGCATTATTCATGATAAGTCAGAATTTCTGAATAACAACTGGAGGAACTCGAAAATATTTCATCATTGTTCAAATTTTTCAGAAATACGATTTTTTCAATAGATTGTTTGTATCTAGGGCTTCATTATATAATTCAAAAATTCGTTGCATATATATATGTGGGTATGGTCTGTTTTTGAAATGAGCAGAAATTGGATTTGAAAACTGAAAAGCGTATTTCATATACTATTGCTTGTAAATGCTCAAAACGTTTCTTTGGATTTCTGCAAATATTTTCTCTTCTGAGGTAGAGCTAGCAGCTGCTTGTGATTGTTATTTAATCAGTCATTCACTATGGTCTTAATTATTAACTCCTGGTGACTCCTGTGCTGGCTAATTAATTTTTAAGTTCCTGCATACTGAGAGTGTTTTTAAAATTATTAGAATATAAGTATTTCAATTTTATTTCTCAAGGTTTTCTAGCTTCAAGAATAATTATTACAGCACTGTATGATTAAAAATGAACGGTGGACATATTCATTCTTAGGCAGGCATGCGTATTATGTGCATCAGACTCCACAAATTACATTAATCCAGCAACTGCTACACATATACAGTCAAAAGAACCATACAAACAGTTTCTGAAAGTAAAATTTGAAAAAAAAAAAAAAAAAAAAAAGTATTCTTTATAACAGCAGGATCCATTATCTGAAAATTTTAACACTATTAAAGATTATATTCGGTTAATCTTCAGATTATGGTAACTTGGCGAAAATTTGGTGACCAACCCTGCTATAACAACCTGTTAGCTTTTTTTTGGACGCCATTTTGTTTTCACGAAGTAAAGGCATTTTTTTACTCAACATTTTTTTCAACAATCTGCTAGCCGAATTACGCTTATGCTAGAACTTTTACGGAACAAAAGTGCTTAATCAAGACGAAGATTAGGTGCAAAATTGGGAGAAAGTGCAGAATCGCCCACTGCTTGCCGCTTTTTTAAGAATTGCACATACACGGTATCCATGTACACCTCGACGTATTTTCACTTAAAAAAACATCCCAGAATTGCACAAAAATGGCATAGCGCACACTCTTGACTTTATCCATGTACACTGCTAAAGTCCTAGCTAGTAACCTTTATTATCGCCTTACCAAAATGTTGCCAAACTACCTGTTACCATATTCCAAAGATTAGCCTTATATGCTTTTATGGTAATACAGCTCTGGCAATTTATTTAATGGTAAGGCATTTGAAAAAAATAGGCAATAGCTCTGGCAATTTATTTAATGGTAAGGCATTTGAAAAAAAATAGGCACTTTTGTAGCACCATTGAAATCTGAAAAAAGAAATTAAGTTTTTACTAGATAAGTATGCAAGTTTTTTAAAACTCTTTTATAATAATAGAATCAATTAATAATATATTTTAATATAATACTAACATTTTACTTTTAAGCTAATCTTTACTTATATATATGTAACATCATGCTTTTCTACCAACCTGAATTTAACTGTATTAAATAGAATCTTTAATTAGCTCATTTTTAATTGCATTATGCGTAACATCATGCTTTTCTGCTAACTGATTTTAATTGCATTAATTATTACATTTAACAAGCTAAAATTGACTTACCTATGCTTAATATGTTTAGTTGGCTAATTTTTAGTTAAATTTAACTTATATATCACACAGTGCATTAAATATCATGTCCAGAATTCTAAATTTTACTTTTATATGCTTTATGTCATGTTCTATTTCAAAACATAACCATATATTACTAAAATCATTACCATTGGCAAGCTTGGCGATTAAAAAGGGACGATCGACAACAGGTTCTCTCTGGAAGTGCCAATGGGTTCATTGTGGAAGGAAACTACCGTGTTTTTTATTACAGTCAAAAGTCGTTAATTCGGACACCCATAATCCGGAATGATCTATAATCCGGACCTCAAAGCTAAAAACTTTCTGCGCACGCCGCGTTGGCACATGCGCACAGGCGTTTTACGCGTGCGCGTAAGACCTTGACTACTGCGCATATGCGTGTGCGCAACTGCAGAATACGTTTTCGCCTGCGCGTTTAATGTATAACGAACGGTGTAAGCTAAAATTATCTAATAATCTATTTCAGTTAATGTTAATGATTGCATTGTTCCTTAATCTTCGAATTGGATCCCACTTATTATTTTTTGCAGACTGTAAGAGCAATTTTATAAAAGTAAACTTGAACTTTCGATTATGTCAAATAGAATTTCCGATGCTGGAACTTCCAAAGGATCTACAAAACGAAAGTATGTTTCGATGTCCAACAAACAAAATGTGGAATTGCTGCAAAAAATGGATAAAGACATGAAGAATGTGACAGAGAGGTTAGTGAAAACGAAAAAATTTTGATTGACAAGTTAGTCGGTATTCTCGGCACAGCAATTAACGGGACTTGAACAGCGGAATTTTGTAACTGAACAAGAAATTATGTCTTTTTATAGAATTAAAGAGAAAGTATTATCACATAAAACGAAGCAACTTAAACAACTTACATTGAGAGAAATGTTTAATAAAGTAAACAAATAAATATGAAGCTTTTTTTTTTTTTTTTTTTTTTTTTTTTTTTGTAAATTTTGATACCCTTTAGATCATAATTTTTCTTTATTTCATAAATTACGGTTTCATATTTTTAATTTTAGAGTTTCTGCATGCCATCTTACGAGATTTAAACTGATGATCTATAATCCGGAAAATTCGATAATCCGGAATCGCTGATGTCCCGACGAGTCCGGATTAACGACTTATATATTATTCTGTATTAATCTTCGTGGATGCCCCCAACAGGTCAGAATTGAAATTTGTGCTCATTCCAAATAGAATATTTTCTGATTCTTTGGAAGTTTGTTGGCAAATTTGATAATTTTCTTAAAGACAGCTGATATTTTAGTTCAATAAGACACTAAAGCTTAATTTTTCTCTTTATTATAGCCCTTGTTTTTTAACATTGCTAAGAGTTTTAATTAGTAATAATATTTATCAAATATTCTCCACGTATTCAGCAAAACTTGGACTGGTTCCAACTGAGTGGCCCATATGTTAGGGAGGGATTGGTTACCAGTTGAAGTTCTCAAGAGGTGGAAGTATGCCAGTCATGTTACCTCTCCAGGCCTTCTCAAACTCGAGATGTCAGACTTTCAAGTTGATCTCTATAGCCACAGGTACCTAAAGCGCAAGTGTTGACCAGTCATGACTCCCAGGGAGCAGAGAAACGTGAACGCCTGAGGATCTGACTGGCCATCAAGATTTGCTACATACCAGTACTATGTAGGATGCTCTACTCCAGAGAATTTCTCCAGTATGTGGATACGAGAGGACCAACCACTGGCACACCATATAGGGGGCTTACTACCGCCAAACCTGTGAAGAGGTGGGATAATGCTCTTCTTTCCCACAGGCTTTTAAGAATTCCAGGCTCATTATTTTTATTTATTGGTGCTGAGACTGTCAAGATATATACCTGAGCCATACTGTAAACAACTTTAGGGGAATTTTAAGAAAAAGTAAATAATTTACATAGTAAACATATTTATTTATTTCTTGCAGTTTGTAGCTGTCATATCAGTGACTGCTTTTAATACAGTCAAAAGTCGTTAATTCGGACACCCATAATCCGGAATGATCTATAATCCGGACTTCAAAGCTAAAATCTTTCTGCGCATGCGCCGCATTGACGCATGCGCATAGGCGTTTTACTTGTGCGCGCAAGACATTTACGACTGCGCATATGCGTCTGCGCAAGTGCAGAATACGTTTTCGCGTGCGCGTTTAATATATAACGGACGGTATCAGCTAAAATTATCTATTTCAGTTAATGTTGATGATTGCGTTGTTCCTTAATCTTCGAATTGGATAGGGCTTATTATTTTTTGCAGACTGTAAAAGCAATTTTCTAAAAGTAAGCTTGAACTTTCGATTATGTCAAATAGAATTTCCGATGCTGGAGCTCCCAAAGGATCTAGAAAACGAAAGTATGTTTCGATGTCCATCAAACAAAAAACGAATTGCTACAAAAAATGGATAAAGGCATATTCTTTGTTTATCTAACCGTTCCGAAATCTGTTTATCAATTTCACGCTGCTCTGAGTGGGGGGGGGACGTCGCGGCGCGCAATGAACTGGAAGTTGATTTGTCAACACTATCGTTATCTTCAGGGCAGATGTTTTTATTTTATTCGGCTTATAATTCCTTACTAAATGTAGTATTTAATTTCGATGTACTCCGTCTTTGATATGATTTAAATCAAATTCCTCGTCATTATAAATATCACGAATACAAATCAAATAGTTTTCTGGTTGCAATTTTCTAATTTCGGCTATGCGTAAGGTATGCTTTACGCATCCGCGCGTTGAAAGAAATGTTTAATAAAGTAAACAATAAATTTTAGGCTTCTTTTTTGGTAAATTTTGATACCCTTTAGATCATAATTGCTCATTATTTTATAAATTACGGTTTCATATTTTTAATTTTATAATTTCTGCATGCCATCTTACCAGACTTAAACTGATGATCTATAATCCAGAAAAATCGATAATCCGGAATCGCCGAAGTCCCGACGAGTCCGGATTAAAGACTTTTGACTGTATAACATCAAAAGTATTTTTCTCTTTGTGAGACTTCTGTCACATGAACTTGCAAGGTAAGATGAAAGAGAGTGATTAAACATACCACATCTCCTTTTATTTTGCCATTTAGTGGAGTCCCTCAGTGTTTCATCATTTTTATATAAGTAGCCATTGTGAATCAGTGAAATTAAATTGACCGTTTGCATTGAAATAACTGTAACCTGCATTTCTAGTTCTTGTTTTGGTACTACTCTTATATACGCTCTCAGGTCGCCAAATGTGGCAATACGTGTTCTGTACTGGTTTTTGGCGCTATTGCGTGTTCTGCGATGGTTTTTGGGGCTATGTTGTTTGTATGTGGAAACTTTGTGTGTGTTGCGATGTGGAAACTTAATTTTGTTGTAGTGGTTTTATTTGCTGGTTGGTGGGCATTTTGAAATGGTTTATGTTGCAGTGAAAGACGTGGTGGCAAAATTCAGTCGCATGTCTGGTACAACTATTTTTTCAGATGGCTGGAGATCCTACAAGGATTTAGGAAAAGAAGGTTTTGTGAATCATAGTATTAATTTTGTGGGTCGGGAATGTGGCTGTCATATAAATACGATAGAGAGCACGTGGCGGCATGTTAAAGCTACATTGCCTTCTTATAATCGGAAATGCGATTTTGAGTTTTATTTGGTGGTTTATATGGTTTTCCATTACTGTTCTAAAATGGGAGAAGATCCTTTCAACAAATTTGTGGAAATTGTAAGAACTGTTGAGTGAGGTAAATTGAAAATTTGTTAGTAGAATATTTGATGATAGTGTTTTTTTTTTTTTTTTTTTTTTTTTTTTTTGAATTGTTGTTTAGCTGCTGTTTGAAGAAGCATTCATAATGGTGAGTGCATTTTATTTTATTGTTGTTCTTATTTTATAGAATATTATGTCCATTGTTTTTTTTGCTATGAATTTCTGTCGTTATTGTTGATTTTTGAATTGTTTATAATTTATTTTAGTTATTTTAGTTTATTCTCTTGATTTGTGCAGAATACCAAGATTGTGCAATTCACTGATTTTTTTTTTAAAGTTAAAACAGAATGCTGTGTACATGGTATTGTTTGAAATTTATTGTGGTTATATTAGTTTATTTTAGCGAGGTGTGCGTAATTCCTAGATTTGCATGTACAAAAACCACATTTTTGCAGACAGTTTAGGCTTAAAGCTCGAAATGCAGACAAAAAAATTTAGAGAGTAATATGGTGCCGTGAAGTGTCTTGCCAAAAATGTTTGGCGAGAAATTTGTCGCCAATCGAGAATGTATATAAGAGTAGTTCCCTTGTTTTTTATACTTCCTAGTAGTCTCAACAAATCATCAACAATACTTGCCTCTCTGTTTGGAATCTGAACAACAAGACGTATACCAATTTCTCAGCATAACCAGTCGAATATATTATGGATAACTTTGCCAGCAACATCTTTTCATTGGCCAAACAGACTCTCTTTCTGCAATTTTTCCAGGCCAATCTGTTTGCTTATTTAGCTGTTAGATTAGATGTAAAAAACATACTTCTCCCATGAAACTGTCTGTTAATAGCTGTATTTTCATAAAGATGGAATTACTTCTCATATCCATTGCTATCATACTTTTTCCTGTGCTCTTACAAGAATGATTATACTTTTCCTTTGTTCTTACAAGAATGATTATAATTAAAATATATAGACATTGTTTCCTTTTTTAAAAATGAAAGTAACAAAGCTAAAAATGATACTTTTTTGTTATAGTGGGTTCTAATATTTGGCAATTTTAGATTTGCACCAAGATCTCAGCTGTATTTTCTCTAAACTTGTCAAGTGCAGATTTAAAAATAAATAACACAATATACAGTCAAAAGTCGTTAATCCGGACCCGTCGGGACTTCGGCGATTCCGGATTATCGATTTTTCTGGATTATAGATCATCAGTTTAAATCTCGTAAGATGGCATGCAGAAATTCTAAAATTAAAATATGAAACCGTAATTTATGAAATAAAGAACAATTAGGATCTAAAGGGTATCAAAATTTATAGAAAAAAAAAAAAAGCTTAATATTTATTTGTTTACTTTATTAAACATTTCTTTCAATGTAAGTTGTTTAAGTTGCTTCGTTTTATGTGATAATACTTTCTCTTTAATTCTATAAACAGACATAATTTCTTGTTCAGTTACAAAGTTCCGCTGTTCAAGTCCCGTAATTGCTGTGCCGAGAATACCGACTAACTTGTCAATCGAAATTTTTTTGTTTTCACTAACCTCTCTGTCACCTTCTTCATGTCTTTATTCATTTTTTTGCAGCAATTCCCCTTTTTGTTTGATGGACATCGAAACATACTTTCGTTTTGTAGATTCTTTGGGAGCTCCAGCATCGGAAATTCTATTTGACATAATCGAAAGTTCAAGTTTACTTTTATAAAATTGCTCTTACAGTCTGCAAAAAGTAATAAGCTGGATCCAATTCGAAGATTAAAGAACAATGCAATCATCAACATCAACTGAAATAGATAATTAGATAATTTTAGTTTATACCATCCATTATACATTAAACGCGCACGCGAAAACGTATTCTGTGCTTGCGCACACGCAAATGCGCAGTCATAAAGGTCTTATGCCCATGTGTAAACGCCTAAGTGCATGTGTCAACGCGGCGCATGCGCAGAAAGTTTTTAACTTCCGGATTATTCTTCCGGAGGTCCGGATTATAGATCATTCCGGATTAACGACTTTTGACTGTATAATAATAACAATAATATGCATATGTCATTTCCTAAGAATATTTGGAACTACTCTGATATGCGCCCTCAAGTCACCAAATTTCTCGCCAAAAGTCTCCATGCTGCCATATTGCTATCTAAATTTTTTGTCTACATTTCGAACTTAAGCCTAAAATGTCTCCAAAAACATGGTTTTCGCGAATGCAAAAACCACGTTTTGAACACACAATTTAAGCTAAAAATCCAAAACAGAAACAAAAAATTTAGATAGCAAAACCATAAATTTCTAACCAAAATTATTTGACAAGAGTCCATGTACACAGCAATATGTTTTAACTTTAAAAAAAACATCTACGCATGGCACAATCTAGGCAACGAACGAATCTACGAACTACGCACACCTCGCTTTAATAAAGTAACATAACAATAAATTTCAAAGAATACGATGTACACAGCATCCTGTTTAAACTTTAAAAAAAATATACGAATTCCACAATTTAGGCAAAGAACGAATCTACAAACTACGCACACCTCACTTTAATAAATTAACATAACAACAAGTTTCAAAGAATACCATGTAAACAGCGTTCTGTTTCAACTTTAAAAAACATCTACAAATTACACAATTTAGACGGTACGCAAATTAACAAAATAACTAAAATAAATTTCAAACAATTAAAAAAACAACAACAGTGACAGAAATTCATACTAAAAAAACAATGAACCTAACATTCTACAAAATAAGAACAAGAATAAAATAACATGCACTTATCATGAATTAATGCTTTTTCAAACAGCAGAAATACAAATTTATACCGCCTTTAACATGCAGCCACGTAATCACTATCGTATTTATATGACAGCCAGACACACTATCCAGAAAATTCATACTATGGTTCACAAATAAATAAAATAACAAATAATCACAAATCTCTACTTCTATCATACACAGCCACTAAAAATAATCTCTCAGACCCTCTTTCCACGTCTCCAAATACCCAATGCCCCTCAACAGGGTGGCCACAACGATATTTCCTTTTGCCGAACTTTCAATTCAACAACTTCCACCATTTTATCTTTCCCCCCCCTAGCTTCTCAGACACAGAGCATGACGCGAACCAGCGAACTCCAGCGAAAGACTTTTCAATGTCAACAGGGTTACCAACATGCAATCGTGCCAAAAACCAGAACACATATAGCCACATTTGGTGAAATTAGGGCATATATCAGAGTTGTACCGAATATTTTTAAGAATCCATATCCTTATTATTATTATTATTTTATTGTTTGTAATTGTTCCAGTCAGCTGAAGCACTTTCACACATATTGAGCTGTTTGTCATGGACATCAGCTCCTCTGCCCAAGAAATGCCCATAAATCTAATAGCAGTGACGAATGATATTCTGGAACCAATTTCCAACATGGAAGTCCTTCTTCTTTATTCAATTTTTATCATTCATTTTGTCATTAACATAAAGTTTCATGTTCTGACCATTTTCGCATACTTGTTTTTCAAGTAAAAGACTTTTTTCCCGGAAATATGGTATGGCATCCATGTCATTATTTGGTAAATTAAAGATTGTTAACGTCACATTCACAAAAAAAGCAATAAATGTATTTTCAGATAAACAATGTAAATTTGAAAACCTCGTCAAAAGTGAATAATATAAGATCATGCAGTGAGAACAAAAATGCAACACAGTGCTAATATACAATTATATGGCGAGGTATAAGAGCATGCAGCTGGTGCTAATATATGATCATGTTGCGAGATACAAGAACACACAGCCAAATTCTGGTGAGATGTCTCAGTTGATTGCTGATTCAATCTTAAGGAGGGCACTATATCAAAGAATTACCCTAAATCATGAGTTTACTTATATTGAATAGAAAATTATATTATTTCAAAACTTATTTTTGAATTTGTAACTTTTTCCTTTGTAACTCTTTTCCTTTAATAATTTGGGTTTAAATGGAGTCTCATTTCTTTGCACTGTAGTTTTCTTAATTAACTGGGTATATTTTAGAAATTCTGTGGTACTTTTTGATTATCTGCAGCCTCCATAAAAAAACTGGAAAGGTAAATTGTATATTTTATTTAACAGTGAAGTATAATAATAAAGTTGATTAGCATTATTAAATAGAAAAGTAAGTAAATAAGTCTTTTTTAATTTATTGCATTTAGATGCATGTATATACGGTTCAAAGTCCGTAATCCAGACGTCCATTATCCGGAATGATCTATTATCCCTACTTCAAAGCCATAAACTTTACGCATGCGCACGTTGAAAGAAATGTTTAATAAAGTAAACAAATAAATATTATTTCTTCTTTTTTTCTGTAAAATTTTATACTTTTTAGATTATAATTGCTCTTTATTTCATAAATTACAGTTTGATATTTTTAATTTTATAATCTCTGCACGTCATCTTACAGATTTAAACTGATGATCTATAATCTGGGAAAACCGATAATCCGGAATCGCTGAAGTCGCTTTCGAGTCCAGATTATGGACTTTGTACTGTATATATATATATATTGTGTGTGACTATAATAGTATGAAAATTTTAACTTTGGGTTTTAGATTCAATGGAAACAGCGAATATTTTCAGGAATTCAACCCACTGGAGCTCCCCATCTTGGTAACTATTTTGGAGCTATTAAGAAATGGTCCACTTTGCAAAATGAGGGAAAAGATTGCATTTTCAGTATTGTGGATTTGCATTCTATTACATTACCTCAAGATCCAAAAAAATTAAGGTGGTATATTAATTCTGTATTCATATTTTTATTAAATGTAGAAAAGAATGAACAGTCTTTCACTTTAGGTCATAACTTTTGACATTTGTACACATGAGTAGTATTGTTATATGAAAGAACATACTTTTTTTATGAATAGATGAATTTTTATAAATTCTTATTAAGTCTAATATCAGATTTATGCATCAACTAAAGAGCAAAGTAAATTTCTTTAAAAATTATTTAGTAATTTTTTCTTAGTTTGAATGATAGTTTACAAAATATTAATTGCAGAAAAAATTATTTATTGTTTATAATAGGTAATGGTATATTATGTTATGATTCATGTGAATCAAAATTCCACTAGAAATTTTTATTATAAATATTATCAGTGGCTATTGTTTGTATTGAGTTTATCATTGTTATTTGCCAAATTACCAAATTATCATTGGTGTGCCTGCATCATTAATGAAGTATTCTGTGTAATATTTACTACTTCCATATTACTAGAGAAAAATAAATTTCAAAGTATGACTATGAACAAGGAATATAATGAGCAAAAAATTTTAATTCAAAATAAGATGCAAGTCCAAAGAAATATTTTGTTCAGACCTCTTGCCTGCTTTTCAGTGGTGGCCGAAGTACAGTAATAGAAGGCACTGGTACCATTTTCGTAGCCATAATATTATGCTGAAGAATAATCGTAACAAAATGAATGAAATGTTGTTGAATAAAGTCAATTTTTTGCAGAACACGAGAACAGAAGTTATATTTACATTGTTATGTTATGAGCATTTACACCACAATAAAAATTATTTGAGACCTGTATTTTGAATTTCCTTTCATCAGAACAGTGAAATTGTGATTTGTTAAAATTTTTTAAATGGTAACTTTGAACAATAAAGTCTGTTTCAAGCAGTCTTTTACTAAAAATAACATTGCCATGTAAACTTTATGGAAGAGAATCCAAATATTATAACTAAGGTTATTGCAAAGAGGTTTATGGTTGTACTTAATCCTCATTTTACGGAAATTGATCTTGTAGAATGTTAACATAGAAGCAATGCCCAATTCTTCATTATCTATTAAAAAATAACAAATTGGACCAAGGCTTAAGATTGACAATTCAATAATTTATAGAAACTTGGATTCTTTTCAAAGCTGAATTTTGGGGGAAAATACAGACTAGACCATGTCTGTACGGTAATTTTCTCTGCTCAGATGCCTGAGAAACAAATTTTTGTAGTTTAAGGAATTTTGTAAAAAGGATTAATAAAAAATCGGAAAGGGTTGAGATTTTTAACAGTCAACAGAAAAGGTTTGTTATGGTTTTTTGGTATGCTTCTGTTATCAGGACCAGATTCAGAAATGTATGTATATATGGCATGTATGTGTTTATGTATATATGTATATGTGCATACACTTACACATATATCGGTCCGAGGTTCGAATCCCGTGAACGGGCTGGCTGCATGGGCATTTTCGTGGTTTTCCCCATGTGTAGCATGTAAACGAGCCAGTTTCCCTTAGAAAGTCCTCCACGAAGGCATCCCTCCCCCTAGGCAGATAGCTCTCGAGGCTTTGCCATAACCACACACAAACACTTACACATATATGCACATACATACAAATACTCATGCATATGCATTCCTGAGTGTGATCCCGATAACAGAAGATTACCAGTTTTTCTGTGCTCTTGCTGTTGTACTCACTTCTACTAACTTTTTTCTTTTCTTTTCTTTTTTTTTTTCTTTTTCTTTTTTTTTTTTTTGTGTGTGTGTGTGTGTGTGTGTGTTTAGCCTTATTAATCTGTGCATTTATGCCATATACTATTCAACAATAAAATTACAAACATTTTAAAAGCAGCATGTGTTTAGACTTGCTGATGCAGTATAAGTGTTGGTGTACATTTTTCTATTATTTTTAAGTTTTTTGTCACTTTATGATATCAGTGTACAGTTTTCTTAGTAAGATGGCTTGCAAAACTCAGTTTTTTGTCTTCTTATTATTGGCATTTTATGTGTTAAATTTATTAATTAAATGTCATGTTCTTTGCAATTATAATATCCCATAAAATTCACTTGAATAGAAAAGCATAGAATATTTAAAAACAGCATATTTTTTGGAATTTCATTATACAGTCTCACATGCTGGGGCTAATAGTATTTTAATCCATACAATGTTGTCATTGCTTGCTTTCAAATCATTGAGTTTATTAAAAATTCATTAAAGTTTTACAAAATATGAAATGCAGTACAATGTCCGAAATCCAGATTCATCAGTACTTCGGTGATTCCGGATTTGGGATTTTTCTGGATATTAGATCATCAGTTTAAATCTAGTAAGATAGCGTGTAGAAATTATAAAATTAAAAATGTGAAATCATGATTTATGAAATAATGACATATTTTATACCCTTTAGGGTATCAAAATTTAAAAAAGAAAGCTTAATATTTATTTGTTTACCTTATTAAACATTTCTTTCAATGTAAGTTGCTTTGTTTTTTTGTGCTAATACTTTCTCTTTTTTTCTCTTTTACCTCTTCTGTAGACAGACATAATCTCTTGTTCGGTTACATTGTTGAAGTCCTGTAACTGCTATTTCGAGAATTTCGGCTAACTTATCAATCGAAATTTTCTCGTCAGTAACTTCTCTGTCACTTTCTTCACTATCAGTAGCAGTATATTCTGGATGTAGAACCATACTACAGATTTCATCATTAATTAATTGATTGATGATTGAGAAGCTTTTTCATCACAATGAAAAACTTCTTTTATATCATCTTTATTTATTACCACTTCTCAACATTTCTTTACAAAATCCGTTAATTGGAAAATTTCACCTTTGTTTAGCGATATTTGGAAACCTTTAAAATTGGCAGCTATCATCATCAAATTTAGTTATTCTTCAATATACATATTTGGCTATGTATCATGAGCTTGGCAACTAACGAGAAAACTAAAGAGAATTTTTTCTTGCTTCTGAGACAATTAAGCCTCAATTCTATTAGTTATTTATTATATTTATGTATATTTCTTGCACATGCTTAAGAATTACATGCACATTCTTATCAGAATTCTGAATAAGTAAATTCCCACCATATACTTAAGCCTTATTAAGGGCCGGCACTAGCTAGATATCTTACCGCCTGATGCAGTCTCTGTGGGTCTTAAATTCTGCGATTCGATGCAGCCATATGAACCCTGGCGCTGGTTCTGGGTTTATGTGAATAACAAATCAGTTATTCTTAGTTCAAATAGCCCTAAATGTAATCTAGATGTAATCTAAATGTAAATTGTAATCTATGAGTATCATCAACAAAATCTATTTTTAGTATACGGAAAGAAATTTTTGGTAAATTTTTCTTTATCATCATTTTTAGCGCATTTAACTTAAATCTTTAATCATTGCAAAGCATAATGTCAACATAAAAGGTTACCAAACTCCTTTATTATTCAATTACACAAAAAATTGTTTATGCATCGCTACATGAGTTATTACTTGATTTATCATGTTTTGATAAACATGCGGTGGTGAAAGAAAAGTATAATAAATAATGATTCGCCAGGTTGGTGTCAGATCAACGGTGTATCTATGTGGAATGTTTCGGTTTGAGATGTAGGCCAAGCAGATACTCAGCAAAGGAGCTAAATTACTGATCTACAAATTTATCCTAAAACGATTGTTTCTTTAATAATAAGGTATTTTATTTAATGTTGAAGGGAAATTATGAACTAGGACTCTCCAGATGTTTTATTATGCACGGATTGGTGAATCGAATACGCATACATAAAGCCTACAAGAAAACTTTGGTGGTTTTGGGTCCAGATTTTAGATCGTTCTGGATAATGAACATCCGGATTTCGGATTTTGTACTATAAGATTCAAAATTTGGCCTTCCAGGTACACATGTTCGGATGGAGGAGTATGTTATTCAAAATTTGATGGACCTAGGTACCGTCATGTTCTTACAATGTAAGGAACATACATATAAGTACATGCAAATTCTTCATTATTTAATTTCTTTAAAAATAATACAAGGTGGCTAGTGGCAACAATTTGAAAAGTGATTCGCCATTTATAGTGGCCAACAGAAAATCTCATATCAAGATTAATACCTAATTTTGGCTGACGCCCTTTTGGGCAAAAAATTTCCCCTTAAAAGGGCATTATAATCAATCATGTCAATGTAAGATTCCATGTTGCCTAAGCGATGCTAGAAAAAATCAAGGATTTAAAATAGGAAATACTCCAGAAATCACTATATTGTTCAGACATTCCTTCTTCACATTTTTATTTGCTATGATCTCTATGGGAGAACAAGAATTTTGATTCCTAGGCAGGCATAAAAAACTGCCTTTTAACTTTCTTTACACAAAAATTGTAAAATGGTGAAAGACAATTGCAGAAAATAATGGCAACTGTATCTCATGAAAAGAAACCAGTCTATTTTAGATATTACTCTTCTGTTTATTTTCAAACAGAATGTAAACTTTTGCAATCATCTAAAATCTGGGTTTAATTGTAATGGACTGCCAATGATTTGAGAATTTTCAAAACCATAACTGAGTTTATACAAAAGTATTTGTATTCCATGAATTTTTTTTTTTTTTTTTTTTTTTTTTATTGATATCAGAGAAGCTGATGATAGTTTGCAATATCTCAATATATTGTTAAATGGTAAGCCCACCAGTATATTTATAAATTCCTTTTGGAAAAAAAAAAAAAAAATAAGGTTGCTGTTCAATTTAAATGAAATTTTCTCACCCTTATTAATATATTTAACATCTATCTTGCTTTTTTAATTTGCCATTACATTACTCTTATAAATTATAATTATTTAAAAATATTATTTATTTGTTGTTGATTAAAGTTCTTGCATTTCGTCTTCGCTTGATCGACAGTATCATCAGCCAAATGATATCCCGTTTTTTACTTTAATGACTAGCTGGCAAATATATTATATTTATTACCTTTTTTTTGTTTTAAAGTTTTGCTTGTATTAATTTATATATTATTTATTTTTTAAATCTGTCCTTTAAATAAGGATTTTTATGGTTTACAGTCCACTTTATGCTTAAGAGCTAGTTTTTTTCAGCCTGTATTCTTGTTGTCATTTTAGGATTTTAAACCTATTCTTGTTGCATGCAGACTTAAGTTGTTTTAAATGAATTGTTCTTGTAACTATATTTAAATGTTGCAAAAAGCTTGCAAAGCCAATGAGAAATTTAATGTAAAAATTTATTTGTTAAATGTTATTAAATTATAATTTTTGCTAGTTCATTGGTTAGCTCCTAAATAGAGTATGAGTTTTACACTTCTATCACTAAACCTCTACAGAAAATGTCATAGAACTGTAAAAATTCGTTGATTTTTAAAACTTTTAAATTTGTTTATTTTGTTCTTTGCAAGGTTTATACCCTGCAATGTATTGCTGTTTCAGTGTAATATGATTTCACAAAATTTTTGCTATTTGTGTTTATTTTATTTAAACAACTCAATAAACATTTGATAAATGTTAATTAATTTTAGGTACAATATTCGTTTAATGGCTGCTTGTCTGATAGCTTGTGGCATAAATCCAAATTCATCTGTGCTGTTCTTACAATCACAGGTATTCTTTTATTTTTTGATTTTTTGCTGTCTTTTACAATTATGTTTATTTTTATGTCTGTTCACTTTAACACATTACTTTCCTGCATGTCATTTTCATTGTAGGTATTTCCACTGGAGTTTATGAATTTCTTGTTGATGATTTATTTTTTATACTTTCAAGATTTTACTATTAATGATGCTCTCTTTCTGCTTATTTACTGTCCAAGGTTTCAGTTATCTGTAGTTTACTGTAGTATACATTAACAAAATTAAAATGTTTTGTAAATTAAAAAAAAAACTATTATGTTACATGCAACAAGATAAAGTAGCTTAATTTTACATTTTTTTTTAATACAGTACCTAATATTATCTTCTAAGACCACTCTGAGCACAAGTACACATGAGTGATTTAAACCTATTTTTCACTGCCTGTGCTATGCTTTTCTAATCATTATTATTAACTCTTCGTGTCGCTCCTTGAAAGTTTGATGATCCTATGAAGCTGTGATCTGAAACTCGAATTGCATGTGGGCCAAATGCACAGTCTGAAAGCAGCTGATGAGCCAGACTTTTTTAAAGTGGATTTACATATAAAGAACAAGTACTAACAATTATATAGATGTGTGCATGCATTTGAGTGTTTGTGTATATATATATATATTGGGCCATATGAACCTGTAATGTATGGATATCATCACTTTATAACCTGATGTTATGTGTGAGTATGGAATGTTGGATGTAATTTTATAATATCTTTAGAAATTATATTTGTGAAATTTAATTTGCTTTACACATGATTTAACTGAACATTTATTTAACATTCTGTTATATTTTCTACAATGGATTTCACTATACTTAGTTTCATTTTTCAAACTTATAATTTATTCCCCTCTCTTTCTGACTAAAATTTAAAACAAAAAGAATCTTTCTTTCAGTTAAATTATTTTTTATAGTGTCTTTAAGGGTGATATTCATTACAGATTTTTAAGAAAACAATAAAAATAATGTTAGTAATGCAAGCAAAAAATTCAAATTTGTATTTCTTTTCTTCTGAAATATTAATGTTGGTACCTGCAAGAAATTTAGGTACTTGTGTATCAATTGGCATAATTTGGTGATTTTTTACAGATGATAAGGCAAAAATTACTTATTGAGTGCAAATTTTTTTTTGCCCCCTTTTTTATTAGAAAGATTCCCAAGGTGCCAATGTTTATCACAGTCGATAAACATTATCAACATATGAAAGTAAAACATATTTTTTAAAATAGAAATTAAAATTTTTAAATAAGGATTAGGTACTGTTCTGTTATTGTAACCGTATTCAGATATGTAGTAACGTATGTACATGTGTATTTATATATGTGTGTATGTATACACACACAGCCTTGCGAATAATGATGGGTGTGTAAAATTTCATCTGTCTTACATCAAAAAAGATCGTGTTCTAAGCTCTGTTCATTTTCATTAAGAGGGAATAGAATAAAAATATATGAAGACAACTTTTCAAGAAGAAGGTTTTGAATTCATTAAACTATATGGAATGTTAAAAATTATTTAAAAAAGATGGTGTTCCTTAAAATTAATGCAATTTGGCTCCTGTATAGGAAAATTTTATTTAATATGAGGTAACAGAGTGAACACATCAGTTTGGTGAATTTTTTACATGGTGCATTCTTAAATTTTTGGGTAAATGAGAAGTGTGTATCATATATGAACATAGTATCATATACACTAGTCATCAAAATTAAAGAATAATGAGAAAAATATGCTCATTATGTTAATGTTGTAACCAATGTTCAATGCTGTAGTTATGTTAATTAAGTACAACTGAACACAAAATTGCACTTCTGTACACATGTTAGCACCAAAAATACTCAAATTTGGTGATTGACAATGTGATGCAAAATAATGGACGCGTAGTGGAATTCCGGTTTGTTGTTTTCTTTAAAGTAAATGTTATTTCTGACAGTGATCAGTTAGTAGTAGGCTCAAAGGTGTGATTTAATTGAAGGTCAAAAGTGACAAATAATTGATACAATCAAGGGAGGTCAAACACTAATGAAAGTAGTCCAAGATTTAAATATCCCTCAAAGTGTCATATCGAGAGTTTCGAGCCGCTTTTTAAGCACTGGATCAGTTGACTGTTTTCTGTTGTTGTCGGCTGGAAAAAACCGTAAAGTAACTGCTATACGTAAAGTGAATACAAAAGATTTGGCTTTAGACCTTCAAGCTACCACAGGAGCTTGAATTAGCCATTCTACTGCTGCACAAAAGCTTAACAAGGTTGGCAAGAAAACTAATGGTTTGTGTCCCACTCAGTCTGACTTCCAGAGGGGCCCATTTAAACTGCTGCTGTCGTCATGTTCAATGGAGCCAAAACAAATGGGCCTGAGTATTCTTTACCCTCCCTGACGAGTCGAGATACTGTCTGAACACTGGTTCTAGACGTGTTTTGATCTTGGTAGAGGAAGGAACACACAACTTGCCTCCCCTTGTCTGTGAAATATCCTGTTTCCACTACTGTGTTTTAATGGTTTGCGGAGGAGTCAAGACAAATGGCCACACCGACATACATATCTTTCGAGCAAGTTTTGTAATCATTAGGAGATATGGGGGTGAGGTATTGAACTATAGGTTAGACTGTTTAGTAGTGTTTGCTTAGAGTTTTTGCTAATTGATGATAATGCTGGGCCTCATTGAGCATATGTGGTGTCAAAACATTTGCAAATAGAAGATATTACTCAAATGGATTAACCACCTTACTTACCTGACTTAAACCTGGTTGAGCATGTGGTAGATGCCTTAGGGTGCTTAATTTCAGCAGGCCAAATTTCCCCTCGAACCTTCCAGAGCTGAAATGTGCACTTTTAGAAGAGTGGTGTGCTATTCCACACCGGTAACTCTGCACCGATACACCACACCGGTAAATTCCACACCAATTCCACTTCGGTAAAGTCTATTAAATCAAGATGTGAGGTATGAATATCTGTCTGAGGTGACCATACACCAAATTAAACAAAAAAATCTTTTCCACAAGAGGTGACTTAATTTTTCATCATTTTTCAATTTCTATAAGTTTGATTTTAATTTCAATACTTTAAAAATAGTCAACTACCAAACATTGTAATTTATGATAACTAATGCTTTTGTACAAATTTTTGTTGATAATTTTTCTTTGAGTATCAGTTAAGTTTTATTTTTGTCATAATCCTTTACCAGTGTATGAACATGGTATATCACAGAAAGTTGTGATTAGGTAGAGAAATCTGAATTACGAAACGAAATTGCTAGGAAAGATTAAGACATAAATTACATTTTGATAAAATGTGGTACATCATTTTCATACTTCTAAAAATGCTGATATGGTGTAAAATGGTCAGATTCTCATGTCTAGTGCTATAGATATTGTGAATTGTTGCATAATGGCTAAGCTTAGGTCAGTCCAGTTTTTGTGAAAAATATCACAATTGATGGCATTTGAAAAATGTTTTTTTTGGGGGGGGCACCACCAACTTTTTAGGAGAATTTTTGAAAAGGAGGATTTTTAAGTGTTCAAATTAGCTGGGCCATAAGCATTCTAACTGCCTTTCTAGTAGTTATCAACCATATATCTAAAACATTGCTATAGAACTTTAATATACACTGGTGTGCAAAAATTAAGGACGAGAGGGTTTTTTCAATATAACTTTGTACAAAAGCTTTCCAAATCAACACATTTAATACCGTAAGATCCCCAATACGAAAGGACATGAGTAATGTAAGCAACACTTACTAAAAGAGAAATCAGAGGAATAAAAAGAAGCTTTATTGAAAAAGTAGCATGGAGTGCAGTGCGACTGAAGGCCGAAACATCCCTGTGATGGGTGTCCAGCAAGAAACGTCTGGTCTTTAATAAGGGATATGATCTCCCCTGACTGCTAGGCAGGTTTCACAATGTCTGCCCATGCTGAGAATGAGGGTGTCAATCAGTTGTTGAGGCATTGCTGCCCATTCGTCTTGCAGCGCCAATTGAAGCTCCGGAATCGTTACTGGTGGTAAGGTAAGAGCTGCCAAGCATCTGCCTAGAAAATCCCATACAAGCTCGATGGGATTGAGATCCGGAGATCGTGCCGGCCAATCCATATGTTCAATATCCTCACTCTCTAAGAGCTGTTTGGCAGCTACTGTGCGATGACATGGTGCATTGTCGTCCATGAAAAGGAACTTCGGACCCATAGCACCTCTAAAAAGATGCACATATGGAAGAAGAATCTCGTTAACAATAACGGGTCCCGTGACTGAACCTGCTCGAAGATGTGAGGTCTGTCGTACGACTACCAAGCATGATGCCTCCCCAACGAGAACACCGCACCTCCATACCTGTCCCTTTCAATGATGTTCGAGGGATGATTGCGGCTTCCCCGCTCTCTCCAGATGAGTATGCGATGAGAATCGCTACTCAGATTGAATCTGCTCTCATCTGTAAGAGTAACTCGTCCCCATTCATTGTCTCTCCAATTCTGGTGTTCCCGGCACCACAGGAAAGCCTTTCCAATGGGCAGGCGTTAGAGGTACTACACCGTACAGGGCGCGTTGCAAACAGACCACCACCGTGCAGTCTTCTGGCCACGGTAAAACGCGATATCGGTCGTCCAGCGCCTGTGTGTCGTGTGTCTAGCGATTTCTACCCGCTGTCTGCTGCCTGTTTCTTCTGGCCTGTAACGCAATATACGGTCATCTGCGGGTGGGATCCTCGTGGACGACCACTAAAAACCCCCGGATAGCTGTTCCTGTAGTTTGAAATTGTCTCCAAAGTCGTGATGAAACGATGCTGTGAGCAATTCCGAACTCTGCAGCCACACTTGTCACACTGTGGCCTTCCCCAACTTCCAATGATTCGACCTCGGGTAAAAGCATCCAGATGTTGTCTAACAGGTTGATTATTCACCATTTCTCGCGAGGCAGCAACTCGGTGTGATTTTAACTGCTATACGGCGTGCAATCTCTTTGCAGAAATACTGATCTTACACCGACAACATGCTTTATACTACTCAGACCTGCCCCATTAAGTTACCTGCATATCTGTGCATGTGCTACCATACATCACCTTACTTAATCTCCTGATTGGTCTTTCTGTCCGCTCTGCCTCTTCGTTCAGCTGATATGCTAATTTTTCGACTTCATCCTTAATTTTTGCACACCAGTGTATGTTACCCCGATAAATTAACCTGCTAACTGCTCAGTTTTTTTTATTAAATCACTTAAAAAAATTACATATTTTTATTTTATGTATTTCAAATCTGCAGAGAGTTAAAATATGTAGCACATTTTTTCAACCAAGATTTTTTTTAATATAGATTTCATGCATAAGAACAAGCTTTTATAAAAATCAGTTTTAAGAGTAATCATGTAAAGACAAAAATTTTGAAAATAAATCTTGGTTAAATTACAATGTACTATATAAAATACAAATGTAAAGGGTGTGTACTAAGGAAAACATTGAATATTTATACAAATTTATACAAATTGTATAAACATTGAATATTTATACATATGTTTATTGTGGTAAATTTCAAAACAAGGTTCTAAACCAAATTCCTGCTTCACATTTTTTGCAACAGTATGTGTCCATATGTTTCTTTTCAAATTTTTTTGGCAATTGCAGATTTTTTGAAGTAGCTGTCACATTATTTGTAAAGCTCTTTTTTGTAGGTTGGTATGAGAGATATGTGGCTTTCTTGTATCTCTTTTTCTATGTTGATATTAGAGGCCTGTGGCTTGTAAAAATGACCTGTCAGTCTCAAAGAGATGCGAGTATAACTAGCTCTTTCATGTGTACCACATATCCCAAAGCTCAAAAAAGTTGTATTATGGGTCATACATACTTGTATTTATGGTTATTTCTGGATTGCCAAGACAAGGAAATGAGACACAAATTGTTGGAATATTTTTAATATCTATTTTGCAAAGCTGCTGAACGTTTTGGATGAGTATCAAATTGTTTTCAGATTCATTACTATCCGGAGATGAATCCGAGAAAAAACAATCGGTTTTGATATTGCTATCTTCAAAATATCTAAAGTCACTTTCAATATCAGAAATATCATCAAGAACATAGGTTTTATCACTTTGCTGAACATTTCCTGCAAGTCATATTCTGAGTATAAAAAATGAAAACAATAACAACAGGAGCTCTTGCAAAATCAGTTATTAAACTCTATGCAAACATGAAAATTCAGTTAGTAATGTCATCACTTGACCAAAACACAACTCAAAATCTAAATATTGTAGAAACTGCATAATCAACAATTAAAAAAGGAAGAAGCAGGATATGTGGAAAAATTGCATATCCAAATTGTGTGTGAAGCAAATTTTATTACTTTCATGTTGCCCATGGAAATCATGGGATAAATAGTCAGAGGGTTAAAGAACAATGTTTTGCATTTATGTACTTTAACAGTTTTCTATTAACATAGGAAAAGGATTTTTAAACTTGTATTTGTCTTCATTGAACATGTGTTATGAAGAGAATTTTAAAATTGCATTGGATTTTTAACTGTGCTATTTTGATGTATCATTTCTAATGTGTGATATTCCCCCCCCCCTAGGTTCCACAACATGCTGAATTAGCATGGATTCTTGGTTGTTTATGCACCATGGCAAGACTAACACATCTTCCTCAATATAAGGTGATTTTTTTAATAGTTATGTTTAGAGAAATTAATAGAAAACATATGAGTTTTGAAAGCTTAATTTACAGTCAGAATTTTATTGTAAAAAAATTCTAATTTTGTTACATTTTGGAAATTGTTCAATATCCTAATTCTGGGATTTAAACAGGGTAATAAATGCTATTAAATTCAATAATATATGGTGATATCTTTTAGTAGCTATATTTATTCTACAAAAAATTATGATAACACTTGAGTTTTGAAATCTTAACTTACAATCAGAATTTTTATTTTTCTATATATTATGTTGTATTTTGGCAATTTCTAAATGTTTAGATTCTGAAATTTAAGCAAGGTAATAAATATTCTAAAACACAATTTCTGAATTACTTTTTTAGCAGAAGCTAGAAAACAATTGTAAATTTGTTAAAATTAATGCTAACCTATTTTTTTTTTTTTTTGATTATTTATTTAAATGGTAAGAATTTTTCCTTGTGCAGCTGTTTCAAATTATTCAGCTATTCAGTATTTTTTGGTAAAATCTGCTTTGTATTCCTCTGAATTTTAAAAAGAATTTTTACTCTCACAAAGTTGGTAGATATGGCATTATGTAATTTGCTTTTCGTACACTTCAAATATGAAATTAGTAAAAGAAGGTGACCAAAATATGCAGATACATGTGGTAATTGAATACTACTAGGCAGGTGAATTTATCTCACACTTCAGTGTTAAGCCACAAGGTCTGTCTTTGTGAATAATATCAGATGTGTAAAATTGCACCTGCCTTAACCCTTTCCGGCATGCTACCTTTTAAAGTTGGAATTTTGATTAAAAAAAAAAAAAAAAAAAAGGTAGGCAGTTTAATTAGACCTAGAAGAGTACACAAGTAAAATTTTGTAAAGATAACACTTATCATTTTAATTCTGTGGAGGTGCCCGAAGCGGGCATACTGATTGAATAGAGCACTGAAACAAGCATTGCTGGGAAGCACGTAAAGGAGTAAGAGATTTTGCCTATGATTAAAAAACACTAGATTCTGAATACCATAGCAGATTTAGCATTACCCAGGGTGTGCCACGGGGAGATCTGCTACTCTACCACCCCCCTAAAAAGCTCATTTTTGGTTATATAATGATTACATGCTTATGAATGGGGGGAAAAAAGTAACTTGGGTATATAATACAGTCAAAAGTCGTTAATTCGGACACCTATGATCCGGAATGATCTATAATCCAGACCTCAAAGCTACAAACTTTCTGCGCATGCATCGCTTTGACGCGTGCGCATAGGCATTTACGCGTGCGTGTAAGACCTTTACGGCTGCGAATATGAATGTGCGCATGCGCATAATACGTTTACGCATGCACGTTTAATGTATAACGGATGGTATAAGCTAAGCTAAAATTATCTAATTCAGTTACTGTTGCAGATTGCGTTGTTCCTTAATCTTCGAATTGAATCTGGCTTATTATTTTTTGCAGACTGTTAGAGCAATTTTATAAACATAATCAAAAGTAAGCTTGAACTTTCGATTATGTCAAATAAAATTTCCGATATATATTTACTAATATGTAAAGGATCTACAAAGCGAAAGTATGTTTCGAAGTCCATTAAACAAAAAGTGGAATTGCTGCAAAAAATGGATAAAGGCATATATATCCTTTGATTATCTAATCATTCCGAAATATGTTTATGAATTTCACACTGCTCTGCAGGGGGGGGACCACACGGCGCACAATGAGCTGGAAGTTGATCTGTCAGCACTATCCTTATCTTCAGGGCAGATGTTTTTATTTTATTTGGCTTATATTTCCTTACTAAATGTAGTATTTCATCTCGATGTACTCCGTCTTTTATATGATTTAAATCAAGTTCCTCGTCATTATAATTCGCTTCCGATAGTGAAGAAAGTGACGCAGAGGTTATTGAAAACAAAAAAATTTCGATTGACAAATTAGTCGGTATTCTCAACGCAGCAATTATAGGACTTGAACAGCGGAACTTTGTAACTAAACAAGAAATTATGTCTGTTAAATAGAATTAAAGAGAAAGTATTATCACATGAAATGAAGCAACTTAAACAACTTGCATTGAAAGAAATGTTTAATAAAGTAAACAAATAAATATTAAGCTTTTCTTTTTGTAAATTTTGATACCCTTTAGATCATAATTGTTCTTTATTTCATTAATTACAGTTTCATATTTTTAATTTTATAATTTCTGCATGCCATCTTACCAGATTTAAACTGATGATCTATAATCTGGAATAGCTGCATATTTACGCTTTATTCTATTTTTTTCATCGTGGTACTTTCTGAAGAAAGTGACACCACCTTTGAAAAAGCACAATGTAATATTGCGTGTTTTGTACATGTGCTGGGATCCGTATCAGATTCGCTATCTAAAAGCAATTCGTGTAGTACTTTCAGTGCTTTAGAAATGGTCAGCCCTTTCCGATCCGTTCGGAAAATAATTTAAAATCCGAAAAAAATAAACTACTATTATATCTACAATTTGAAATTATAAACTAAATAAATATAAATGTCTACAACTCAAAACGATTAAATGTTTGTCTAAGAAACCTTTGAAGTCTAAGAAAACTTCTTTGAACCAAAGCGAAAGAGAAAAAGAGAACTGCTCTAGTGAAAAACCAAACAGCTAACTGATAAAATTATCCCTGACGGCCTTCAGAAAATTACCCCAACAATTTCTTAGTTGATAACCAAACATCCCCTCCAAAAAAAAAAGGGGGGGAGAAGAAAAAGAAAAACTGGAAATCAAACACAAATGTGGACACACCTTTCTATGTTAATGAGCTGCAGAGAAACAAACATACAACTGCCTCTCAGTGACCTAAACTCACAGTGAGCCCAGTCTGGGAACACCTCGGTTTGCTGTTCGAATTTAGGCAAGATTTCAAGGTAAAAATTTAAAACTAATATAGAATAAGGAGATTAGCATATAGCTAAAAACATAACATAAAAATTTCCTTTCAAACAATTCCTTTTGTACCCTAAAACAAAATCTGTAAGATTTCTTTGAAAAATGTGGGTCTTAAAAAACTAAACATGGCTAATATACATAGACTGGTTTGTGTTGAGCTGCCATCTACTATAAATAAAGAAGGTTCAGAGTAACCTGTAGTAACTTTCAAATCTTTTTTCATTCAATTTTTCTGTGCATACAGAAGGAATTTTTAGGTGTGCCCAGACCGGGCACAGCATGCCGCAAAGGGTTAAGTGGTATAAGATATAGCTTTAACCCTTTGACTACTAATGGGATAGAATCTTCTGAATGCTTGGGATCATCTTCCAAAAGTTGGAAAATAAAGATGCCGCTGTGCTCATTGTACACAAATGAACATAGAGAAAAGAACTGATATGAGTTGCCCAATATGTAATGTTGGGTTATGCAGAGAATGCTTTACCCTATACAATACAATTCAAAATCTACGAGGGTCAGTCAAAAAGTTAGTTGTACGACTTTAGTAAACAAAACAGAAGAGAAATTTTACAATAAATTTTTTCAAAATCTATTTTTCAACATAATTACCTCCGTTATTTAAGCGTATCTTGAGGTGTGGTCCAAGTTTGTCGATGCCTTCTGCAAAGAAATCCTGTCCAATGCCCGATAACCATTCTTGGATTGCCGTTTTCACCTTATCATCCTAGTAATATCATCGCTTTGAAAGTTCTGCTACTATGGGACCAAAAACAAATAACGTTGCAAAGGCTGTAAGGAGGGTGATTCTCGACTTCCCACTTAAACTTTTTCAGAAGTTCGCACATTTGTTTTGCTGCATGCAGTTTTGCATTGTCATGCAGGAGCACAATGCCTTTCGAGAATTTACCTGGCCGTCGATTTTTAATTGATTCTCGTAATCATTTTAGTCAAAAAATGCATTAATTGCAACACCCTTTGGCATAAACTCTGTATGCAGCAAACTTTATCTGCCGAAAACAGCTTCAGCTTCACATTTCCCGCAGATGGAACAGTTCAATACTTTTTTTGTGTCTGGGAAGTGGAATGTTTCCAGTTGAGGGAGCAGCATTTTGTTTCAGGTGAGAAGTGGTGAATCCAAGACTCATCTTCGGTCACAATTTTGTCCAAAAACTGATTTCCTTATTTTTGGTAACATTGCAGAAATTTCAACGCAATTTCAAAATGCTTTTCTTTATGTTTCTCCGTCAGTAGACAAGGCACTCATTGAGCACAAACTTTATAAAATTGAAACTGACAGCTTGCGGCAGTAATTTTATGCACACTTCAATGAGAAATATCCAGTTCATTAGAGAGTTTGGCTGTTGTTATGCATCTGTTTGCAAGAATACATTCATTCACACCAGCAGACATATCAGAATTTGTGGCAGTTGATGGTCTTCCGTCACATCAGTGTCGTCAAAATCTATACGTCCATTCTTAAACACATCGCACCACTTCGCAATAGCTTGACGTTACATTGCATTTTCACCATAAACTTCATACAACTGCCGATAAGTTTCACAGCCATTACACGTTTTTACCAACAAAAATCGAATCACTGCACGCATTTCCAATTTGGATGCCACTTGCAGCTGTCCAGACATGCTTACGACTGATTATCAGACAAACTAAAATTGCCCTGTAAAAGCCGCTATGCCACACGATAGAGCTAAATGTCTGAAGTGTTGCCAGAGAGTTTCATCGAAATAGCCTTTAAAAGAAAGTTTTTACAAAGAGGTGCAACTAACTTTCTGACTGACCTACGTATTTCATATAATAAAGTTTCCCCAAACACTTATAGTCAGTCAGTCGCTACATGTCAGACATATGTATTCTACTATTAACTAGGGCTGGGATGCATGTGCCCCAGCCTTTGGCTTAAAAACCATTTCTCAAAAAAATCCCAAATGCTAAATTTACCTTATTTATGACATATTTTGTTCACTTAAATAGGAAACAGGATTTAAAAAAATTTATTTTAAATTTGTAGTCAAAGGGTTAAGGAAAATATAAACATTATGGAGTGAAGACTTCCTTGTTTTAGCACTTTTCTGTTTTAGACACATTAACTCTCACATTTTCTTTCAAATGCCTCCATAAATCTAATCTCGAATATTGTTAAGAAGTATTGCAGAAGCCCTAAATTCTTCATGGCTTGGGATCTTATTCATTCATTATAATAATTTTAAAATTGTTTCAGAGAAATATATATATACTTATTCTCATACTGGCTTAAAATCATGCAGTGTTAATTCTATATTCTAAACTCGATTTAGATATAGTTTTTTTTTTTTTTTTTTTAAATGAGATATTAATTGAAGGAATTTACTGTTGCAAGTTCATATTAAAATTATTAAAAAAAAAATATTTTTAAGTATGCATCCAATCAGTTCCCCTTCCTAAGTTATAAGCCTTAACCCTTTAGCTTTATTTTGATAATTAATAAGTAATTATATGTATAAATAAAATTAAAACTCTGCTTAGAGAAATTCTGTGATTTAAAGCAATTTAAACTAAAAAACAAAATCTCATAATTTTTATATATAATGTGGAGGGGTTGAACATTAAACAGATAATTCAAAAACAAATAAAATGCATGTAAATCAGGAATTATTTTTTAATAAAACAAATTAATGTCATTTCAATTCCACACTTATGAAGTGTATTAAAAATTGCAAACAATTTGAAAACTTGTGTTACTATGTATGCAATGCACTTTCAGTCAATAGACTGAAAATTAACATTTATTCTAAATTTTTTAAAGCTAAATCACATAGCATAACAATGTGATCTCACTGCAACAGAATGAAGCAAACTGTAGATATATTTTTAGGTATATTTTTATTCCTCATATCCCAGGATCTGTTTTCTCATGGTCTCTGGTTTTTGGTTCTCTGATGTTTATGAGTTATTTATCTTTTCAGTGTTATGCCTCCATTACACAATTGTTTCAAGAATATATTATTTCTTGTGTGATAATTAAGACATTATTCACTTTTCTGTAATTTCCGATAATTTTCGAGTTTGTAAATTCTAGAAACTGAAGAAATTGCAAAAGAAAATGCAATTCACAAATACGTCAAACTTAACAGGTGCTGCAAAGCACACGTCATAGGCTTAAGACATAGTTTATGACAGCGAGACAGGCATGGCTCAGCAACTGCTATCATTCCCATACAAGATTCAAATAAAAAGTCAAAAGAAAAGGGGAAAGAAAAGGAAGAAGCGATTATGGTGCCATGCATGAAGCAAAATAAAAATAAAAGGTCTAAAAAAGTCTTAAATATGGCTTTTAAAATTTTTGAGAAAAATGGTTTAAAAAGATAAATTTGAAATTTTGAACATAAATTGGTAAATTTTGGTGAGTGCAGGTGCATGCAGAAGGGGATGGGTACCAGAATTTCACCATTGGTCGTACTAGTATGGTCCTGCAATATTAACTGGGTAATTCCAACCTAGTTTTGGGGGGAAACATCCGGAGGTTGGTCTGAGGGTCTCTCATCCTTCTTCTCCTACCACCAGTCTCTTGAGAGGACTTTTGGCACACCATGATATTTTGATATTTTTCACAGATACAAAAGTTCATGTCTTCTGCAGAATTGGAACTTAAGCCCGTCAATATGGTAGTCAGTGTCACTAACCTATGTACTCGTTGAGTGGTTTTTGGTGAGTGCAGAAGTATTCAAGAAAATATAATTCATCAACCGAAGAAATCTTTAGATAATTATAGCTAAACAAAAATTAATAGAGTAATTAAGGGCCAACAATGATTACCCATATTTCTTTCTTTCTTCCACAATTTAAAATTCCTCTTCTTTAATATAACATTTCAACAGGGTAATAACCCCCACCCCACAATTTAACCCCCCCCACACACACACACACTTTACCCCCTCTCTCTCCTCTCTTTTTTTTTTTTTTTTTTTTTTTTTTTTTTTTTTTGTTTGTTTGTTTGGAAAGCAATAGCTTGAAAATTATACTTTATTAAATTATACTTTAACAATTTAAAATTCTTCTTTAATATGAAATTTTAACAGGGAAAAAAAAAAAACTTTACCCTCTCTCTCTTTTTTTTTTCTGTAGGAAAGCAACAACTTGAAAATTATACTTGTTAAGGAGCAAAGTAATTATGTAACTAATAAAAGAGAAAAATAGAATGCCAACAAGATTGTAATTATTTTTAATCAGATAATTTTTCATATATAGTAAAGATGGAAAACTTCTAACACCTTTATTAGTTACATGAGAATGAAAAACCTCCATCAGTAAGAAAAGCTGTCAAATAATTGAATTGCTGAACAAGAGAATATTTTGAGAAGTAAATCATAAATTCATAAAAAAGGTAAGAGTAGAAAGAAATCTCTGTTTTACATCCTCCTATTTCTTATTCATCCATTTCTGATTTGTTCTCCTCAGTAAAATGATAATATTTGCATTAGAAGAAAAATGTAATTCATAACAGGTGTTTTATTAAATTATATGCAAATTTGGGAGAATTCTAAAAGGTTTAATATACAAACATATCAAATCCGATCAAAGGAAAACAATCTGCCAGTCAAAAGAAACAGTACAAGAAATTTTATTCCTTTTGCAGGAAAAAACTACAATGATTATGTTAATGCATTTAGTGTGAATACTCTGTATGCATTTGACTCATTGTCTACTGTGGTTAACTTATTATTTTTTACCGTATGTTGATTGCATCTTTTAAAATTCTAAATTAAATTTGAAAAATTGTAAGAGACTTTAATTTTTATTTTTAGGAAAAATCAACTACTTTAGAACATTTTCCACTTGGATTATATCTTTACCCTGTATTGCAAAGTGCTGATATCTTAGCATACAAGTATGGAATTTTATGAAATATTTTTGAGCTTTAAAAATATGATATATTATAATGTAATTGTACTATAAAATTTAATGGCTCCTAAACCAATGGGAAATCAAAATTTCTTATTTATGGAATATGTATTATGAGTAATTATAATACTGCTGTTCAATCCATCTGGCTTAGTACGTCTGGCATAGATACCATGGCAAATGAGTTCCTTCAAATGAACGTGTAACCATTCATCAGCATCACCAACCAAACGTCGTTCTTATCCAGAAATTTCATTCCATTGACAACTAGCTACACTTTTCATTTCCCACGATGATATGCTGCATAAGTATTTCACCGTCAGTCTGATATCTGTAGAGAAGCTTTTAATAATGCTTCAACATGTTGTTTTTTTTTTTTTTTTTTTTTTTCCCTTTCATTTCAAAAATCAAAGTATTGCATAACTTATCTTTCACATACATTTTCAGAATTTCAGATTTCTATGTGTGATGTGATGAAATAACCAAAAAGATTCCATCTTCTTGATTGTGATGTGCTAATTTTCCCATATAGCATTATCTGTGATTGTTAGCTCAGAGTGAGAAAAATGTTCCTTACCGGCGATGCCAGTTGTCATCTTTTCAACTCATTAATATCCATAACTCATGTAGCTATCACCATGTTTGCTGTCCATCCAAGAGTGAGCTTAATTTCTTTGCAGTAATTAGTAATTTGGAAAAATATGTAATTCTAAGATGCACTTCATTTTTAGCAATATTTCTAGGTTTAAAAAAATGTGAATTGAAGAAATATGATTTGTAAAAGTAACTAACATTGTCTGCTTTCGCCTGTTGATGATAGGTTTCTGTTATAAGAAGTTATTATTACTACATTATGTGCTTGAAAGCATACACCCAACTCTTTTTTACATGCTAAATACATTCCTTCCAAAACAATGCCCAAAAAAAATTGTGTAAAAAAATATATGCAACGTATGGTAAACTTGGGGATATGTTTTGCAACTTTGAAAAATCATGCAAGATAAAAAAACACTAAATATTTTCCCAAAAAGCAGTGGGAAAAAAGTAATAATGAAATTCATATTACATATTTAGAAAACAAAAGCAATTTATTTTTATTACAAAAAATTTTTAATTAGTGTACATTGAAAATTCAGTACATATAAAAATTAATACTTATAAATACATAATTACATATAAAAATTTAAAATGAGTTAAGGAATAAAATCAATTTTGCAACTATTCATCACTACTTAGTAACAAGCGTGCATGTTTACTATGAACTAGATCAAAAACGCTGTCATCAGTAGATATATCAAATATGTCTAGCACAACTGTTGGGTTTGAATCAAATGAAGAATTTCGCTTGTTATTAATGGCCTCTGTCAGATTTTTGTTGTTACAAAGTCTGTTATTAGCAACTGTTTTTGTTTTTTTGGTTGCTGTTGTTTTTTCAGTTGCTTATATAATTCTTGATATTCAGCTACACACAATTTAAGATTACACTAAAATTTTAATGCATACTCCATGTCAGGATCATGAGTAAGTATATGTTGTTCCATACTTGTAGCAAATTTCAAATTCTCACGTAGCAAATTTCAAACCCTCGCAAATTAAATCAGCCGTTAATGACTGAACTTCACCTTCGACTTCATCATTATAGACTTCTTTATTATCATAAACTTTCATAAATTGTCCTCATCAAATCAAATTGTCCTCATCCAAAGAGCATGCTCGCATCACTTCTTCGATGTCAGCCGGTTACATGTTGTTAAAACCTTTACTACCAATTGCACTTGATGGAGTTATAATTTCAGAACACACAGCTGATTTTTGTACTATTAAACTTCACTTTTGATGCATACTGACAAATGTTTTTTTCAAGGCCGATTGGCACAGCTGTTTGATGGCAAAAGAAGCATGTGTAATACAATCCGTAATTGTAAACATTACCCATGCTTCCATAACAGTCAAATTTCCTTCTTTCATTGAATCTAAAATATATTTAAACATTTGCTTTATGTAGTACATTTTAAATGCTGCTATAATCCCTGATCAAGTGACTGAATTAGCGAGGTGATATTAAGTGGCAAAAACAGTATCTGAATATTTTGATAATCTAGTACTGGGTGGCTGGGTGCATTATTCACGAGGGGGGGCAAAAGTATTTTGAATTCCAAACCCTTTTGTTCCATATATTTCTGGACTCCAGGAATAAAACAGTTGTTAAACCAGTTTGTAAACACATCAGCTGTTATCCTTGTCTTTTTATTTGCTCAACAGAAAACTGTTTAATGTTCTTACCTCTTAAAAGCTTGTGGCATGAGGGATTTGTTGATTAACAGAGGCTTTAACATTTTATTATCAAATGCATTACTGCAAAACAAGAACGTCACCTAATCTTTGGCCTCTTTAAAACCACCAGCTGATTTTTCAGATTTTGCTATATGCGTTCTTCAGGCATTTTCTTCCAGAATAATCCCATTTCATTGGCATTAATTATTTTATTGGGAGTAATAACATATTAAGTAATTAAAAATAATTAAAGGAGCAAATAATTAAAAAATAACATACTAAATAGATTAAATGATTAGAAATAATAAACTAAAACTGATGTCATTTGAAACACGTGTTTAAAAGATCGTTACCACAAAATAAATCTTTGAAAAATATTATCATTGCCTCAAAACTTTACAAAAAATCCGCATTTCCATCCAAAATACCTAAATCCTAAAATCTCCATGCACTTTTACTATTACTCCGCTACCGCCTTGGGGCCAATACATAATACAGTTACTTTTATTAGTTTATCCAGAAAGCTTTTTTGCAGCATTTTTGTCTGCTGATGCTACTTCTTTTATTTTTACATTTGGAAATGCGTGTCTTTTTAGAAAATCTGTCAGCCATCCCTCACTTGCATTAAATTCCAGTTTCTTCATTGCCTGAAGACTTGTTGATGGTTCCAATTCCTGAAATTGGTTGTATATTCCAAGTCCTTTCTCTTTTATAATTTTCCCATCAATAGTCTTCTATCCAAAACACCAGTTTTTCCGTTTTCTCTAAGATAGGATTTCGACTATAACAAGATGTTTTAGAACTGAGTTTTGATCCAGAAATTATTGATTGTCGAATGGAATTCTTATTTTTTCTAATTGTTCTTGTAGTCACTATGTTTAACTCTTATGTCCCAAATTACTTTACTTTTTTAAAATGAGATTGTAACTTTTTTATTATATTTCTTTATGCATGAGAAACATCTCACATTAAGTTTCTCACTGCTTTTTTTTTTTTTTTTTTTTTAATTGAGTCATAAAAGTCCCATTGGGACATAATTAACCAATATTATTGATGGGACTTAAAAGTCCCATGGGGAAATAAAAGATTAAACCAAAAGTTTTGCCAACAGATATGTGACCTTTGCTTCTCTTTAGACAGTCTAAGATTTTTATTTTAGTTCCTAATGAAATTCTTAGTCGCTTTAGAATAGTTTTTTGTTGTTTGGGCATTTTATTAATAAGGGTACTGGAACTTTTCTAAAAATGTAACACAATATTACCTCTTTTAGTAGTAAAAAATTATAATCACTACAAATTTTACTGGAAATTTTACCATCGAATTTAAAAAAAAAAAAAACTTTAATTTGAACATCAACTTTTAGAACTTTATTGAAATTATTTATTGCTTCCTACGAACTGAATACTTTAACACTGTATAACGAAATGCTGTGTTCAGGTTGAACTACAATGAGATAAAGAAAAAAAAAGATAATAAAATTTGGGTATTCTCCATAATCACCAGAGTAGTACGAATTCTTTGATGAAGTAGACCAACAGACCAAATCTACTTCATCAAAGTCTTCTTCATCATTTCAGTTAAACATTATTTTATTCTCTGAAACCAAATAGGATCTTATAGAAGTACATCAAAAGAAACTTAACAGAAAAAAAGTCATTGTCTTAACCTGAAATTTTAGCCAAATTATAGTTTACTCATTGAACTCACTGGAAACCATCCCTCAGTTTAAAACTGCTGCTGCAACATCTGAATTGAATACTTCTCAGCCATTCAAGATTATTTCTCTGTCTTCTGGATTTGATACCACTTGGCCCTTGGACTAATACTCATAAGCTGTTTACTACTTGTTCATCTTTAATACAGTTAGTTTTTACACCTTGGTTGTTGCCTTTACATAAAAAATCTGGAATATGCAACTCTTCAAGCAATATTCGACATCATTAATAATGAAGACTATAGAAACTGATTTAATAAAAATAAAGAATAACATGTGCATGCATCATAAGTGTACAATTTGTACTATTAATGACATAAATAATTCAGAGGTTCTGTTGAACTTGAAAGTAAAGGTTTATTTAGATAGGAAAAGATACAATTCAACATAAAATATTTAGTATAAAACTTTGGAAGTACTTCTGAAGTTTTGATCAAAAAATCAGAGCCCGCCCTTTCTCTAGGAAGGTTTGGTTAAATCATTCCACAACACCATTTAATGATGAAATATATGAAGGAACAGGATCAGTTATAGCATATAGCGTTTAGAAGCAAATGTTGCTAGTTCCTTACTTAAATATTCTTTGCCTATCACATCTAATTTTTGTTATGGAAGAATTTGGTTTCAGAAAAGTTCTCATCTCGACTACTACATCACATTTTTCTTTTCATAAAACGAATTTCAGTTAAATGCGAGAAGTCATCAATAATAGTCATGAAGTAATTTTCATGTGTTTGGTATAGTTGGCATAATTGGACCACTTACATTTGTGTGTATTGTAACCATTGGTTTTGTCTCTAGGTCAGTGTTTCTTAACTTTTCTAGCGAGTCGCACCCCATTGAATCTGAAAATATATCTCCGCACCCCATTGAAAAATGTGTTAATTTTTTTAGTCTATAAAAATACATTTTTTGCGAAACTTATTGTTTATTGAAAAACATTGTACATTTTATATAAATACAAAACAATATTATTTTTATTATTGACTAGTCTGTTG